GTATGTAGAGGGAGACAAAGGAGACACACATGTACTTGGTACACGTGTACAAAGACGCCAACGCTGCAGCACAAGGTTATTGGAAATGACAATGAACACTGTTAATATAATAGTTTCTCTATAGAATTTTTTGTTCCCTTTGATGTTTACACAAGACCTTTACACAGGAAGGTCAGTTGGCGTTCACTGACGGCCTTCAAACCTGTTGGTCCGTCAGTGCGTCAGGTTTCTTCAATTGTCCAGAAACTGCACATTAGAGATCAAAGGATTCAATGGTAGGTCAATGCCTTTGCTTTTAGTCATTTACTTCCAAATGTGACCGGCCCTGAAAAAAACCACATCTCCAGAGAAGATTTCTCCGCTGCAGACTGGAGGGATGGGCGTGGTGTTGCAGGTGCAGCGCCTCACACAGGTGGGTCTGATTAGTGTAACGAAGCCTCTCCTTATATCAGTAGGAGCCGTGTAGCTCAGAGGGAGACGCAGGAGGAGACAGCAGGAAGGACACTTGTTCACAAAGTGCTGTGCCTGGTGTCATGGGTGGCCACAGGTATTTGGTTTTTTTTTGTTTTTTTTTAATCATGCATGAACCTCATCATGTCATTGGATTATCTTGGGAAACACTGCTCTCGAGGGCAGAGCAACTTATATATGTTTGTTTTTTTCTTCATTATTTATTTGTTTTGGCTGGGGCGACTTATACTCTGTAGTTGCCTTTGTTCTTGGCATTTTGGAAAATCAATAGCTGTAAAAGAATCACACAGTAAAACACGCCTCCTCTCTCTGTTAAACCTGTGTGGATTCTGTGGTTTACACTGATTATGGATTTCTTAGTGGTTTTATTTCCTCCCTGTGTAACTGTGTCAGTACATTATCGTCAGTACAGCCGTGTTTTTCTGTTCAGGTGGTTTCCTGTACCTGGAGTGTTTGTGCAGATCTACAGTCCATGGTGAATTCTTTTCTAAAAGGTTCTTCTCGTGTCCTCTTTCCCCCCTCAGCTGTGTAATCTATTTTCTGTCTTCTTTCTTTGCAGCAGAGGTCGGGACCATTAAGACATGGGTTTTGAAAATAGCTGTAAAGTGTTATAACAGCGTCTGGTTAAAACAGCTTTCATATAAACAGCCCTCGGATTCTTCCCTGGATTATTAGGGCATTGTGTGGAATTTGTTTTCTCTCATCCCACAGTAGTCGGCTTTAGATGGTCAAATAAATGAGTGTTGGGTTTTTTTCCCGTCAGGGTGAAGGTCCCATTGAAAGTAAGAGAAAAAAAATGTTTTCAACCAGTGCAGCTGTTTTGTCTCCAACTCAAACCAATCACACAAACACAGTTCTAACACCAACGCATAACATGGCATTCTGTTTGCAGCAGAACTAGTTTCACTCTACATTCAGCTGTAAACTATAAATTATTTGCTGCAAATAATTTGTCTTTTCCATTTGACAATGACAGGCAGAACAGTGAAATACTTGTCCATTAGGTGGCAGCAGATCGTGTTAGAAAAATGAAGAATTTGTGTGTTTCTCTCTTCAATTCCTGTGAGATTATTAGGCTTGTGTTCAGCTAAACAGGCCAGGGTTTATGTTGAGTAATTCAAATTGTAGAAGATTTTTGGGACATTTTTGTTGCATATTTTTTCTTATTTCTTGGTATTTTTTTCCGCTCTGTCTCAAAAAAGGTTGGGAAACTTTGGTATTTTTTTCTGCTCTGTCTCAAAAAAGGTTGGGGAAACTACTGTAAACTATTCCCAGTCCAAGACTTGCCTTCATAAGCGCTCAGGTCGTACCATCCATCATTCTCTCATCACAGCTGCCGTTACTGTGACAAAATGACTGATGACGGAGCTTCATCTAATTTGCCAATAAAAACAAAGAGGTAAATCTTACTCAATATCTTACTGATAAAAGACAACCAGTAACATCATAATGTTTCCAAGAATAAAATATTACACACGTGCAGGCTTTACATCGGCAGGTCCAGGGTTCGCGGCTCGTGTTTATCACCAGTAACTGCAGGAAATCCACAGCCGTGAGCTTGGCAGCTGACTGGTCACTGAAGCAGAGACCAGTGTGCTGAAGCAGCTTCAGTTCCAGCACCAGTTCACAGCCACACAGGTCGAATAAATCCCTGCAGTTTGGGATCAGTTTCAGTTACTTCTCGTTCGATCCAGTAAACATTTTAACCTCCTTGACCCTCAGAACTCAGTCTCTTAGAGTCTGAAGAAATTATATCCCGAGGTATGAAGTGACCTTCCCACATTAAAAGCGTTTCACTAACACCTGCTGGCTGGATGCAGGCCTGGGCAGGTGTGTGATTATGGGTAATGTTGCCAAATGGCTTTGACTGAAAAGCACAACTAACACAGACAAATTATCTTGACGAGAAAAAATGTTTGTACTCCGCAAATGGAACCCTAGCAACCGTTGACAGAAAGGTCTGTTGGTGGAAAAAAAAAAAAAACAACAGCTGCAGCAACGGACGCCTATCAGGTTTCCATCGTAAATTATCACTGAATAATGCTGAAGCTTTTATAACAGGAGCACTTTCTGTTCTTTTCAAGCAAACGCAGATCTTTTTCAACGATACGTGGATACAGATGCTGAAAGCTCACGTACAGATGCAGATGCATCTCTGCATTTTTCCTGTGCTGGACTGTAACCACAGAGAGAGTGATGATGAAGAAGCCCCGCCCATCTGTACATGATCAAACGGTCTGTCAATAATCAGCCATGACCTTGACACACACCGCTTTAGCATCAGGGGCTAATTTCAAAGTAACTGATTTCCCCCCCACCCCAAATCAAATATGACAAATATTACTTCATGATTCTTATCTGCTTAAAACACGTGTATTGCATCATTGTTCTACAAGCCAGAAATGTTTGACCTGTCACTGTAAATATATCTCATCTCGTTGTCATTTCAAGTCATTATAGACCATTTCCAGACAGGAAGTCTGCGAAAACCTACTGAAAACAATTAAGGTTGTTTACCAACCCCAGTGACCTTCAACTGGTGGCCTGCAGGCCTGATCTGGACCGCAGAGGTTGTGAGTGCAAAACATATATATATATATATCACTCCTGGTGGTACACTGTGGTATAGCTGATAGGAGACTGATATGTATGTATGCATATATATATAGTGACATACACACAGTAAAATCTAGGATATCCAGTTTACCATTACCATTATACTATATACTATATACTATATACTATATACTATATACTATACTATACTACACTAACGCTCATATAGAGATAAATACACAGTGACAACAACAAGCTGTGAAATGAGCACTGGGCAAAATCAAATATTTTAAGGGTGAGTTTCCTCCACACGCTGAGCCGTGGGTTTGATGTCAGAGATACAGCCAGACTTTCTGCCTGTCCTCACAGTCGCTGTGCTGCGGTGTCCGCTGGTGTAACGGCCGCAGGAGTCAAACGCAGTTACACTCTTTAAACGAATACGGGTCAATAGAGTGACGTGTCGGAGGAAAGGTCTGTGTTAATGCCGCAGTGCATTGGCTCGAGCCGCAGAGTTTGGACAGAAGAAGAGTAGAATTATAGAAGAGTGTGTGTTCTCACCTCAGCGTCACACTGCCACCTACTGTTGCTGCTCTTATTCAACACCTTGTTTGACTTATAGAGACATTTGAAACAAACAGTGTAGGGTTCGATTCTTAACTTTATAACTCTAAATGTATTGTTTTGTTTCTTTTTTGAGTACATTTCACATATGTGTAAACACAAATTCACACGCTTTCCTTCCGAGTTTGCATGGATGAAGACTGTCCTCTTGTGGCCAGTAAACCACATCGCATTTAGAGACAAAAATCAAGGGGTAACCGCTAGGAGGCAGTATTTATATATATGAATAGATACAGTAGACATAGTGGCTATTCCACCTCCCTGTCTTCATACTTTACTGCACCCCTGACACCTTTCTTACTGTCCTATACCTGATTATTGTCTCCGTCCATGTCTGTTTTGCCTGAAGCGTCTTCCTCTCGTCTTTTCTAGGCCTCCACCTCTTCACTTTTGAAGGTCACTTTTTGTCATCTAGCTTTGCTTCTTTTACACCTTATGGCCTCACTTCACAGGTCTATGTCACTTAGACACTTTGCATTTCCATCCTCCACCTCCTTGGTCCCCATCTGGCCTTCATCTCTCCTCTTCCCTATTTTGGTTTATTCATTCAATAGCTCTGCAAAAAGAAAAAAAAAGGATCTCATCACCTTCACCTCCTGCTTAGCCTTTATCCACCCAACCCGCTCTATATTTTCTATATTTTTTCATATCCTACCTTTCTCATTCCACCCTCCGTCATATTTCACTCTTTGCTCTGAGGTCCTAACAATTAAGTTGACGACAGATTTTCTCAGTAACTTTTTTAAAATCTACTTCCTGAAGTTTTTCGTGAAGTTTTTTCATTGGATTTATTCTTGTTTATTCTTCCATTATTCTTGGTTCTGCCAAAACTCTCTTTCTCGTCTTTCTCTCATCCAACTGATTTGCTTTAAAATGACGATGTTTATCTGGATATTCATTTAATAATCTTTCACTCCAGATGTCAGTGAGTCCCAGATTAAAGTGTGTTGAAATCACTGGTGATGGACCAACACTTAAACTTCAAATTTTAAGTGAAATAGTATTAGTCCATTTCAGGATTCTTTATTTCAATGAAGGTCATTGAAATGCTTTTGAAATTTATTAAAAGTAAAATATAATATTTACTGTACAACAATTAGAAACTTGTAATTGTAAAAATGTATTACCAGAATTTATAGTAGATATCAATTATGTAGTTTGCTGTAGGGTCTTGAAAAATGCGTCATGTCACACTGTCACCGATAGGGGGCAGCATAACTTTACTCATAAAAGTCCAAACTTACGGTAGGAAACATTCATCGCTCTGAAAACAGACCGACACTGTCGAGTTTGGGGAAAGAACGTTTTTTTTTTTTTGTTTTTGTTTTTTTTTTCTTTTTATTAATTTCACATGAACGTGGTTTACAAATAATGAACTTCCTATTATGTTGTTTCCAATCACAATATACCAAACTCGAGACATTGTTATGGATTAGTTCATGTCTGTTGCAAATATATTATTTGTCATTTTATTCAAACGTAAATAAGACCTTGAAAAGCTCCACAGATTTTCAGATTTTCTCCCATGACATGCTCAATAGAAACATATTGTTTTGCATACAAAAACAAACAAACAGTGCGTCTGTTGAATATGTTGATTGATAACATGCAAAAGTCTCGTGTCATTTGAGCTGTACGTCGTGTAAATGTCAAGTGCTCTGTCTCCTTCTTCGTTCTTTGGACTCAACACAACTCCTTCACCTCCATCCTCCACAAGTCGCACTCGGCAAAATTAGAAGCAAGCATTAACACAAGTTGATTTTTCTTTTTCTCAATTTGGTTTCTTCTGTTTTGCAGTTACTGAGAGATTGATGGCGTTAAAAACCCCTGGAGCTACAGTGGTGCAGTGCTAAGATGTTGCTATAGTCTCACATCCCTTTAGTTTATCTTTGAAAATATTGTATTGTGTTATCATTAGGGATGTCCGATGTTAGCATATTATGTAATATCTGTAAGAATCGGTATCAGTTTTCCTGTATATAAAAGTGAAAGTCACTAGATGGCAGCAATGCAGCTCATATAATTAATCTCATACCCATACAGTGGTTTGTACAGACAAATAAATAAATATTACCAGGTCTTTATTGGTATCGAAATTAAGTGTTTCGACAATATCGGCATAACAGATATCGGCATAAATAAATAATATCGGACATCCCTAGTTATCATTTATTGTGAGAACCTGTTGCTTCCATGTGCAGTTTGCCTGGTGCAGCTTGTTCTAATTCAAACTGTAGGGTCTGCTGTACACACACAGAGAGATGTTCAATCTGAACGACAGTCTTTCATTATTCATCGCCTCAGAGCCTCAGGTGGGTCGGCACTCCAACATCTTCTTAAAGGCTTTTCTGAAGCTGTCATCCAGAAAAGCGTAGAGGAAAGGGTTGAGGCAGGAGTTAGCGTAGCTCAGGCTAGTTATGAAGTAGGAGATGCCAATCACCAGGGGCGTGCTTCTCAGGTCTGTGGTCAGAGCCACGATGGTGCTGAGGTGGAACGGGGTCCAACAGAACAGGCAGACGGCCAACACTATGAACACCATGACGGTGACTTTCTTCTTGGCCTTGTCCAGGGCCTTGGCGTTGCTGTTGAGCCTCATGTTCCTCAGCTTGTACAGCATCATGGTGTAGAGGATACAGATGGTGGAGACTGGGATGGCGAAGCCCAGGATTAGCGTGTAGATCCGGCTGGCTTTGAACCATGAACCCTCAGGGCTGGGGAATATGAGCACGCAGCTCTTCCTCTCGTCGTTTGGGTCGACGCCGGCGAAAACAGTGAAAGGCATGACGATGAGTATGACCAGGATCCACACGCACAAGGAGATGATTTTGGCCGCTCGGTAGGTGCGGTAAGGCATGCGCTTGGAGCTCACCGTGGCCAAGACCACCAGGTAACGGTCGATGCTCATGACTGTCAAAAAGTAGATGCTGGAGAAGATGTTGTAGTGGTCAATGCTGAGAATGACCTTACACAGAATCTCACCAAACGGCCAGTAGTGCAGGAGGTGTTCGGCTATGTTGATGGGAAGAACCAGGGTGAAGAGGTCGTCGGCGATGGCCAAGTTGAGGATGAACATGTTGGTGACTGTTTTCATCTTGGGGGCCTTGAGGATCACGTAGATCACAGCCGTGTTGCCCGTCAGTCCCACGGCACAGATCACAGAGTAGATGATCGGCAAAATGACGTAGAGATCGGCGTAGAAGTAAAACTCGGGCGGAGGAGTGCAGTTCAGGTCCGTGCTGTTCCCAGATGTCAGGGAGTAGAAGTCCACAGAGTGGTTACAGACCGGCGGTGCACCGGGGACGGACATGTTTTCCATATCGGAATTCAAAAGTGGACACAAGTTGTCAGACTAACAGTCTACGAACCACTTTGGTGCAAAGATTAAATGATCAGAGTCTGATGATCAGTATTGACCTGCATGTCCATATCATCTGTACGTAGCACTGACTGACTGGTTTGGACAGGGCTCAGCACGTGACGTTAGATCAATGCAATGGTCAGGATGGACAACAACAACAACAACAACAACAACAACAACAACAACAACAATAATGACACAGAGACCCTGTGGAAAGACTTCCTTCAGTCTTTGGTTTTAAAAAATGTCACCTGCAGAATTCAGGGTCATTATCGTGTTCGAAGTTCTGCCTAAAGAAATAAAAAAACAAAAACAAACATTGAATCCGTCTTTCTCCACCTCGACACTCCTTAGTCAAAGGTGAAGTGCCATTCCACTCGTCGATATCTGAGACGTCTTCAGCCAACTCGTCCTCCAGTTGTCCATGCGGTTCCACCGATATCAGGTTCTTACAAGATGTTCCACGGACTATCAGCAGCGTTCGCGGCTCCGGTGCGTTCTGGACCCGGCACTGGACGTTCACGCACGACTCACGCACCACGGCATCTGGACAACACAGAGACGGGGACGTGGTCGGTTAATCGACCTGCACACATTTCAATGAACTGCGGACACAGAGTCCGTGGCTTCTGTCCACGACACCACAGTAGAACAGGTTACTACAGATCCGTTCTCATACAAATACGACTAACACAAAAAAGATTCACATTCCTTTCTGTCATTAAAAAAACTGTGAAATGTAGCTATAAACAAATAAACAAAACTAAATGAGAGTTCAACTCTAAAACCAAGACTATATCGTGTAAAAAACTGTGTTTTCCAACCGTTAGACAGAATAAAGTTAACAGTGTTACCATCAAGTTTTTTTTTTTTAAGTTTAGAAAAACATCTAAGTGTAATCCTCAGAGTTAAATTCATCAGCTTTACCTCGTGTGTGTCCTTGGTCTAGTCAATGTCCACCGGTCTCACTGAGGAAGATGCGCCTTTCTGCAGCATCCTCTCTCTCCCTCTCTCTCTCTCCTTCTCTCTTTTTCTCTTAGCCCACGTGACGTCACTGCGACGTCCCCATTTCAATCAATCAGACGCGTCTGTTCAACCTGTTGAATTCATCCAAATCTCCTCAGGGTTTTTCCTCGTTGTTCGTCGTTTTTTTAAATCAAGAACATGAAGAATACGTTATGAAGAATAACGTTGCGCCGTTATTATTTATTTATTGTTACGACGATCGGTTCCATGTTTGTTTGTTTGTTTGTTTACATTTGTTTCGTACAGTTTATTCTCAGTACACAGTAAATCCACCCTCCTCCATCATCGTACAGTTATCAGTACTGCACTACAGCACACTACATTTATCTAACTTTAAAAAAAATCACATCGAATTCTGTTTTCAAATTATTTTTACCAATTTATGTAAAAAGTTTTTTAACCTTCCAACTAAATTTAAACTGATTGTTTGGTTTTAACCTTCCAACTACATTTAAACTGATTGGTTTTTTTTTAATTAAACATATTCGACTACTTTTCCTCGAAAACTTTTTCCACCATTGACTGCAGTGAAGAGCAGCAGGAAACTGTTTCTCTGAATATCAAGCTGAACTTGAGAAGATGTGAAGTGATTTATATAAAAGGGGAAAAAATGTTTGAAATAATAATAATAAAAAGTCTGAACCTTATTTTTAGAACCATTATGTTTTAAAAATGAATTAAAGTGGGAAAAATGTGTGAGGCATCTTCATGTAGCATCAGCTCATTCAAAGTTAAAAAAGTTCCATACAAATAATACAAATAATAATATATATTTTTATCGTTTTGTTTTTAGTAAAACAAATACTTCTCCACAGTGTGTGCAAATAACATGTGTATGGACTTTCAATCTGATTATATTACAGAAATGAACACAACTTGTTGTTTTGTTTATTTGGAAGTGCAAATAAGTTCAAGCTAAGTTTTTTTTCAGTCATCACTATTAGCTCATTTATTCTAACTAAGGTAATTAGTTGTCTGATTACTCCCACATGACATCGGTCAGCTCTGACTGGACCAGCGCCCCCTACAGGTTTAGGAAAGTTGTCTGCATTTTAATTCACTCCTCCAAATCTGCGCCATCGAACTAATGGATCCAGCGAACACACACTTACAAATGGATTTGGTTCATTTACGACTCAGCAGAGAGGCTCAGGTGAAAATATTTCATTTTCTTAATGGATTTCCAACTCCCTCCACCACTTCATCCAAAGTTACGACCTGACTGCTGCAGTAGAAACGGCTTTCATCCTCTGTGAACTTGTGACTAATTGAACCCCGACATCACACTTTAGGAAAAGATTCACGGTTGATTCCGTCCACCATGAACTCACTTCTCTCCCCTCTGTGTCTCGCCTGTTCTCGACCAAAGCGGCTTCATTAACAAGAACCGACTGTGGATCAGAACTAACTTAACACACACAGGTGCAACAGACCAACAACTGCTACAGAAGAGGGCAGGACACAGGTGGAGGCAGCTGGGTAATCACACACACACACACACACACACACAGGTGCATGTGGTGAAGGCTGATGACATGAGCGAGGTAGGAACCACAGGTTTCAGGTGTGAATGGTAATGATGATGATGATGATGATGTTACAGAGCAGCTCATTGGCTGTTCACTGTGGACAGAGTTTAATGGTGGAATTTTACATCAGTCCTGAAATTCAGGTCTGGAAACATTTATCAACCATCAACATCTTAAAATCATGTCATGTGTTTGGTAAACCTTAAGTTTTTTTCATTTCATATTTTTTTTATTTTTCATTTTTATTTTATTTATTTATTTATTGTTTCATTCTACGGGTCGAAGTGTCATTTTTATTAGTTTAAATAATATTTGTTAAAAATAATTGGCCGTGTTTGCTTTGCATAGCTGTCGGAGCACTAACTCAGCCATGTTATTACTGGATGGAAATGTCAACCTGGTAATTATAGACATCTGTCATGAGACTCAGTGCTTGAACAAATGCATCTATCAGTGTTGGCTGTAAAGAGACTTTAAGACTTTTCGTTGTTGCGTTATATGCAGACGATGTGGACGTTTCTTTCCAGCTACAGCGTGACGTTTTTGTAAAGATAAAACTGATATCATTACAAAAATATTCTCACAGTTAATTGTTATGGTTTTGAAGGTATTGGGTGACTGTACAAAGGGTTGTGGGTTCAGTTCCAGACTTTGTAGAATCTGTTAGTTCCCAGTGGTAGATGGGAAAACCTGCTGTGTAAAGTGGTTCAAGTTGTCTTTCTGCTGTGTCTGAGTCTCTGCGGCTCCAGTTTTAAGTACAGACTTGTTTAAAGCCACTGTTTACTCATCACTTCCCCTTTTCTGTGTGAATCTACTGTAGGGCATCATTTCAGGAGTGACACGTACCGAAGCAAACGTTCCATAAATCTTTATTTTATTGACCGTTCTTCTCCTCAGTGATGGAAAGCTCACCTGGAGCTTCAGGGTATGTTTGTTTTTTTTTATGGCAGTTATTAAACTGTCCTTCATAGTAGAGGGGTCAGAACATATTTTTATTTTATGTTGCAAATTGGTCAATGAATATACCCCCAGCAGTGGGGGGGGCTGAGGCGGTTCCGCTCCACTGACATGACAAGTCAGCTGACCTGGAGATGAGGAAAGAATGTAAAGACACATCTGCTGTCATCGGTGATGAGGCAATTATCTGTGAATGTCTTTTTTCCTAATGAATCAGCTTCCCTTCCTGCTCAGATAAGCCTCTATTTACATACAAATAGAAACATCTATCGCACAGACGCTCCATTCAAACCCCGAGGGAAGGACAACAACTAAGACACATACAGCTAAGGGTTAATGTAACACACACCGTACACCAAGGTATGGCTGGAGCGGAGGTTCATTAGCTGTAAATGATTTACCTGATGATTTATCCAGCTGTGAATTTTATCTTAGTATAAAGGTGTAGAAAAAAACCTTAACCAGGAAATGAAAGCCGGTAGCCTGGGCTCGCTCCTCGGTGATGGATTAGCGGATGATTCATTATTAGTGTGATACAAGGTCATAAAAACTGCAGCTGGACTCTTTGTCTTTATGAACGTCACATCACTCAAACCACACGTGACGTGAAACAAATAAAGGAAGACGGACGAGTTTAAAGAAAGGACGTGAGGGAAACCACGTCAACGTCAGGAATTAATTATGGTCACATTGACAAGGTCTTTTTTTTATTCTCATAATTTACAACTTTATGCTCATAAACTTACCACTTTATAATCAGAAACTTGACTTTATTCTTATTAAACTGTTTCTTTAATCTTAACTCTCTAAAGTTTACTCTCATAAAATTGTCTTTGTTCTTTACAAATTTATTTTCCTAAATTTACAACTTTATTTTTCTAAACTTACGACTTTATTCTCGCAAATTTCCGACTTTATTCTCGTATACTTGACTTCTTTATTTTTGCAAATCTTGGGTTTTTTTTTATAATAATCCATTGTCGTGCTGTATTATAAAATACTAGAAACCTTATGCTCATTTTAACATCAGTGACAAAGACACGTCTCCTGTCCACACTTATAACACCATTTCAAATATGGGTTAGAAAGGAGCAGCGAGAAGGTCTTTATTTTCCTACAAAGGTTCGACAGAGACGAGACGGAACGTTCCTTTTATTCTCATCGCAGACCTTGTTTCTAACCCGTGGTTTCAGACATGTATTCAGACTGTATTTCAGCAGGGTTTAAACTGAAGATTAGCTGATAGGCTGTCACATGTGCACTACAGTATGTAATTACATTTGCACACATCACACAGACTGGAACAGAGGTGGAGGCGCGGCGTTCACTGTGTGGCAGTTCAGTGGGTCAGTGTTATTATCTCTCATGGTCCTGAGCAGACGTTAATTAAAAGTGAATGAAGGCCGACTTGACTGGAGCGAGCGGCTGCTGAGTGTCAGTGTCCGTGAGAACGGTGGTTTCCAGTCAGTCAGAGAGTCGGAGCTCTTTCTTCTTCGCCATCGTTCGATAACACGATGTTTGTTCAACAAGAATTCACAGTTTGAGTCTGTGCAACTCACACAGGCTGCCACAGGAGGCGCCATTAAGTATGTGATTCCTGTGGGGCTTGAACCCAGGACCTTCTGAGTGTACAGCCAGTAGCACATCTTGAAAGTAAATTAGTCAAAAAAAAAGTATTTTTCCACCACGTCCCACTACCAAATTATCTACGGACCGACACCTGTCTGCGAACCAGGTATTGGGGATCCCTGCGTAACGCTATCCAGTTTTTCTATGGTTTATCAATTTTCTTGTTATGAAGCACAATGGGGGCGATGTTCGTCTCACGTTCACGTTCAACTTGACTCCT